TTAGGATGTAAGCTGTTCCAAGTAAACCTGACTTTTGCAATTGACTGATGGTGATTTTGTCAGTGCTGATGGTGTTCAAGTGGTGCTCCAGATCTTAGGAATGCACCTAAGGTGACTATAACTATTGGTACTATCTTTGCTTTCTTTTGCCACAGTCGTTCTACTTCTATTTGCAGGTCTTTGTATCTTGTGATTTTCTCAAGTTCTTTCTCTTCTATTCTGCTGTCTCCAGGTATTACAGTGTCTACCATCCAGACTTTTTTGTCTTTCTTATCAACAATTGTTAAGTCTGGGGTGTTGTGTGGCAGCTGCTTGTCTGTTTCAGTTCTCAGGTCCCAGAGCACTTTAACTTCTTCATTTTCTATTACTTTGTTTTGTGGTCCCACCAGTTCTTGCTTGCAGGCAAATGGTATTTCTTGCAGACATTCCAATGCACCATTGTTGCTATTTTGTCATTCCATTGTTTGTAGTCAGTCTGTGTGATCTTCTTGAAGCATCTGACGTTTTGTGGTCCCACCAGTTCTTGCTTGCAGGCAAATGGTATTTCTTGCAGACATTCCAATGCACCATTGTTGCTATTTTGTCATTCCATTGTTTGTAGTCAGTCTGTGTGATCTTCTTGAAGCATCTGACTAGGTGGTCCACTGTTTCTTCAGCTTCTTTGTAGAGGCAGCATTTGATCTCTGTTGCTGTCTTCTCGATTCAGACTTTATATGCATTTGTTCTTAATGGTTGGTGTTGTGCAGGCTGAGGTAGCCCCTCTGTCACTTTCTTCAACTTTCCTCTTAGCCATTGCCAGGTCTTGTTGTTATCTGCTTTGCCTGCTAGTGTTTTGTTTTGTTTACTGGCCATGTAATACTTTGTCTTGCCATGTCTCTTTTCTATTCTTCATTTGGTCTTTGTCTCTTCAGCATTCAGTAAGCCTTCAGGGTATACTAGTTTTATTGCGTCTTCTTCACTGCCCTTCAGATATTCTTCCAATGCCCTTTTTTCTTCTTCAACTGTCGGGTGTACTTGCAACATTCCACACCCACCTATGCTCCTTGGTAAGTAAAGTCTGTCAACATGGCTGCATGGATGAAGGGCTATGTGAATTCATTGTCATTATTATTCTGGTCTTCCTATCCAGAGCTTCTACCTCAGTCAGTCTGCAGATTATTCTTTTTTTTTTTTCCAGAGGAGAAAGGAAACATTGTGGTTTGCTTTTGCTTAGGAGAGTTGTTAATCCAATCATGGATTCTGCTTCAGACAAAAATCCCCAAAATTCCACATATTGGAATTTGTAATTCTTTTGCACCTCCATACAAGTAGCTTGTACTATGTACAAAGCACATTGGTGACATTATCATTATTATTTTCAAATTCAGTGAATATGATATGTGAGAAATACTTTTTAAAAAAGTTGTTCAAGTGTGTGACAAACCGTGCAAGAGGTGGTCTTTCATATCAAAAGTGTAATAAATAGATTTTATTTTTTGCCCAAGATAGGTTGATAGAATAAAGTAATATCACATTCCAAATCATTTAAGAATGCACCTATGTGTTACATTTGAAAGTGCTCAAAGAGTTCAAAACATCTATTGTGTAATGCATTCTGAAAATATTCCTCATGCTTTGCATGACTGGATTTCACATAGAAAGAAGAATAGCATATATCCAAGGGCATCCATGGGGAAGGGTGAGTTAAGTCTTCCCCCATTAGATTGGCTCTGGACTTGTTGCCCTTCATAAGCCTTGAAGCCAGGGCTAAATCACCAGGAATCAGGGTTGGAACATTTGGCAGAACCCGTGAGATGGTTATGTTGGTGGCTATTTGTAGTTTTATCTCACCTGCTGAATATGTATTTATTGCTGTGTATATTACACTGGGTTTTATCTGTTTTCAGTTGCCAATATCATGAGATTGGCAGCCATATAAATATCTATCTATCTATCTATCTATCTATCTATCTATCTATCTATCTTATCTATCTGGATCTGGATCTGGATCTGGATCTGGATCTGGATCTGGATCTGGATCTGGATCTGGATCTGGATCTGGATCTGGATCTATCTATCCAGCCAGCCAGCCAGCCAGCCAGCCAGCCAGCCAGCCAGCCATGAGCTCATGATTGAAGCCCCAACCCTTTCTTTTCTTTTCTTTTTTTTTAAAGGAAAACCATGTTTGAATAATATTCAAATAAGTTTGGGATATCTACTTTACTTTTTTCTGAGGTACATATTTCCTGACCTGCTATTAGGAGCTTAAAAAGTCATACTTTGGATTGGACATGGAAAGAAGCATCTTGAAGCATTCAGCCATTGAAGTCTGATTTAACCTTCTTGAGATGTAATCAAATTGGATTCTAACCTTTGTTCATTGGCTGACATGCGTCAAGAGCAAACACTATTAGACTTTAGAGATAAATATGGCTTTGTGTTAATGATTTATGTAACAGGAGACAGAGCTTCAGTTTCAGAATAATAATGTGCAGCCATCTGGATCTGAAGGGTGGGAATATATTATTTGTGATACACTTGTTCATTTATGTAGCCCCTGTTGGGGGGAAAAAACTCTTAAAAACTTTATAAAATAGAGAAAGAGTTATAACCTATCTCAATTCATTCCCATTTTGTTTCTTTCCTGGGGGGGGGGGAACTTGTGAGGGACAGAGGTAAATTCCCATAAATAACTAAAATAAGCTTCCTAAATTAAGATAATATGAGTGTATTGGAGGGTGGGGATGTATAGGAGCAAAGCCAGGCAAATACACACAGAGCTAACAAGTGAAGACAGTGCTGTTAATTACTATACAAATGTAGTGCAAGGTGGATGTATAAAACTTTATGTATATAAATGTTTATATATAAAAATATTTGTCTCTCTGTGTATAGGGAGACTAAGCATAAATATGCACTCTAATACCTAACTTAACTTAATATTTAGAATTTGATTAAATGATTTAAATTTGTTTATTTATTAAACAAATTTATATGCCCACCCAACTCACACATCTGGATGGCTTACAGAATTAAAACCCATAATACAAACCAATAAAACCACCCCCACTTCCCTGGTGGCAACAACACACTCAGACCAACCATTTGATCAGTTCCATATCATCCTGGGGTCCTCAGGCCCACTGACAAACCCACTTCCTCAAGGGCTCCCAGAAAAGTATAAAAATGTCTACTACTTTGTTTACAATACAAAAAAAGTTTCACAGCTAGTTTCTTCCTTCATCTTTACTTATCAACAGACTTAGTGATGCTAACAGATTCTCTTCTTAATACTCTCTTGACCAGTTGTCCAGTGCCTGAGCCATGTGGAATTTGGTCTACCACCATCTAGAATCCAGGGCTGCATATGCTCTTTTCTGCACACTCTTCTTTTGCTTCAGTTGTTGTAGGAATCTTCCTGCTTCTTCTCACTGGCCATGGTTCCTTTGGTTTCTGGCTCCCCCAGCCATGGCTTCCTCTGCTCCATGTCTTGTCCATTCACCTCTCACTCCAGCAGCATCTCTTGTCAAACCTAGGAGACTCCCACCCTCCCTTTTTATTTACTTGTTGTGGCTTCTTTTACAGTTCTCTTTTTTGAATCCTGCATGCCAGCTTGTAGGTGATTCTAAGGAATTTTAAACTTTGTTTCCTGTTCTCTGTAAGTACCTAGGTGCCACATAGGTGCATTCTAAGCTGGGCCACTGGAAAGGGGGGGGGGGGGGAGTTGACCTTGACAGTTGCATGCAACATTCTTTCTGTTTCAGGACAGTTCATCCTTCCACACAGTATGAAACTGTGGGATGGTCTTCACATTATGCCTAAATCTCCATATGTCTGCTCCTACTCTTGTCAACTGAAATAAGAGTCTTCAGACCAAAAAGTCGTGAAAGAGCAACGTTGATGTCCTTGTTTCTCAAGCTGTATATTAAAGGATTTAACATGGGTGGAACAATGGCATACATTATTGTAATCGCAAAATCAAAGTGTGATGGTGCATCAGATGGAGTCCTCAGGTAAGCAAATGAAGAAGTAAACAAGAATAAAGAGAAAACTGTAAGGTGAGGGAAGCAAGTGGAGAAGGCCTTTTTCCTTCCCTGAACAGAAGGGATTTTTGAAACAGCAATGAAGATCTGTATGTAAGTAACAATGATGAAGGCAAAACAACCAAATGCTAATGTAAAACTAAATACTATACCTCCAATTTCAATTACATATGAATCTGAGCAGGCAAGCTTAAGTAACTGTGGGACTTCACAGTAAAACTGATTGATCACATTAGAGCAGAAAGAAGTAGTAAAAGTTCCAATAGTGTTTAATACAGCATTGAGAAAGCTGGCACTCCACACGCTGCCAATCATTTGGGTGCAAGCCTTCCTGTTCATTATCATTTCATATCGTAAAGGATTGCAAATGGCAACAAACCGATCATACGACATGACAGTAAGAAGAGAAATATCAGAGTCTGCAAAGAAGACAAACAAGAGGACTTGAGCAACACATCCAGAATAAGAAATATGTTGTGTATTAATAATGGAATTGATAATAGACTTGGGGACAATGAGTGAAACAGAGCCAATGTCTTGTAGGGCTAAGTTCACCAGGAAGAAGTACATGGGAGTGTGAAGATGGGAGTCAAAAGCAACTGCAGAGATAATGAGAACATTCCCTGTTATTGTCATTAAATACAGAATCAGAAATATAGCTGTGTACATAACCTTTAGTTCCCAAATCTTTGAGAATTCCAGTAGAAGAAACACAGATGTGTCATTATCCATTGTTTGGTCACAAATATCAGAACCCTAGAAGAAAAGGGAGATCTGTTAAAATATTTCTCTTGAAGACATTTGAATAGCAAATTCAATATGTTCAGTGAAGATTAAATTAAAACATAATTTTCCAAATATCTACAAACAGTTCCAAATATAAACATCCTTTCCTTACCACTTCAGTTGTCTTACATTAATTTAAAGTTTAGAAGTGCTGTGTCAATCACTTCTATCTAACAGTAATCATGCCTCATGTCAGCGCTTATGGTCTTGAATTCAAAGACAGTCGAGAATCTCATTTCTGTTTCTTTTAAATAATAAGATAATTGCAAATTTATGCATAGGTAGTATGGAAAAAGTCAAAATTTCAGCGGTGAGAAAACTAAAACTAACAAAGGCAGATGGCTTTGAATCTTTAGTTGCTGAGAATTTGGATTGGAATTTCAGTAGTGCAACCATGTCAGTGTTTCTGAATTAGGAATGCCATCCCTTTACCCCTCCCCCTTTCCTTCCTTAACAGCCACCTGGCAGAGCCATATAATGTGCTCCCCTCCAGCTCCATTTGGTTTATTTCTGGAAAGAATTTGCAGCAAAATATACAATTTTCTTCAGAAACCCAAAAGAAAGAATTGGAGATTTTGAAAGAATGAAAAGAGAAATCTTCAAATGTATCCTGAAGGGAAGGTTTAGGTCTCAAATGACATGGCTTGAATGTTTGTGAATTCTGCCATATTCAGAATTACAACCTCTATTTTTTTCTATTAATTCCCTTACCTTAATAGCTGTAGGAGCAAATTAATTCTGTCCATGTTGTGGCTAGCTGCATGAAATTAATTAGTCACATCATCTTAATCATCTTAACATTTCTCTGTAAATGGCCTTGAGAAAAGACTTCAGAGAGAGAAAAATAATGTTTTTGTTTGCCTGCATCTGAACCATATGATAATCAAACAGATTTAAAATAATCTGTAGGAGTCAGTTTTAATACAATCTATACCCCAGTGGAGTTCCTACTGCACAGAACAGAAAATAACTCTAAAGAGAACACAGATGTAATTTTAGTTTACATGAATTTGACTTCTCTACAATTTGAACTCACTAATGCAGCTTGTAGATGAGAAATGTAAAAATATAATATGAGACCTGAATATGTCCCCCCAGCACCCCAAAATGGAGGGACAGTAGAAAGGCCTGAATTGAGGGAAGGGAAGGGGGAGAAATGTTTTCTGCATTGAACAGCCCTGAAATGTGGAGGCCACTCATTCCATTCCAACAGTTTCTTTTGCTTGTCACATCAACAATGCAAATAAGTAGATTTATTTAGCAAGAATTAGAGAAGGGGGAGGAAGAGAAAAAAAAATGAGAGAAATAAATAAATTGCTAAATGGATGGATATATAGATAGCCTTAGAATATGAGTATGTGAATAAGAAGGAAAGGTGGCAAAAATGGAAAAGACATTGGTTTACCCTCCTCTTCAAATCTAATTTTAGGTTATTAGGTGTTCATTTT